TCGCTCTACAAAATATCACAATTTGGTGATACCGTTTCTTAGTCTCAAAAGTTACGAGTCATAAAGAAACGTGAAACTGAAAGAAAAGCACTATTTTTGCAGTAACCTCGCACATTTCACAGTGACAAGACTGCTGTGAGCGACATCTGAAAGCCGCACAGGGCGGCCACAAAAGTCCAATATGCTTTGAACGTTAAAAATTTATTACAAAAGTTAGACTTAACTTTAATAATAGTAACAAATTATTATTCTGTTGAGTTGCGAGAAGTAACCTTCATTCCAGTGTTTTCTGCATTCCAGTCAAACCCAATAGACTAAAAATTGTTAAATGTTATTCAGGAAAAGCTGAATTGCAGATCTGCCAAGATAGGGATGTCAAGCGGCAACCTGAGAAATTTCGCAACTTTGAGGGGATGTAACTTGGCCGGGAACGATGGATTAACGACACTAGTTTGGTGAGTTCCATCCAGGCAGATGGTTCAGCCGCTGCAGAATCCATGCAGCTACTAAAGAAATACTTATCACTCTTTCCTTGCTTATCATTGCGTAACTCCGGAATTCGTCCAATGGTCACCACCAAACTCTGATATTCTGTAGAACACCAAGTTTTACCCAAAGTTTGCTTCTTTAAAAAAACTAAAAAACATTTTCTTTTTTGATTTTTTTTTTTTTCGTTTTCGTTCTTGCTGTATTTACTGATTAATTTAATGAGATCAAATAAATGAATACAACAAAAATATAATACTTTTTGATTGTTTAAGTTTATAATTTCTCCTGTTCTTGAAGCAATGGAAACATAATAATTTCAAAAGCAGAAAACATAAGAAGCCTTATAAATCAAAAAGCAGTTGAGCTGAAGTAAGAGCCTAAGAAGACAAGCATGTCAAGCAGCAGTCTGGTAAATTTTTTAAATTTGATAGGCACAACTTGGTCGATAATTCACTTTTCCAAGACCCAAACATTATTAGTTAGTAAGATTTAGAAGAATTTCTGAGATACCAAATGAAAGAATTGTGCGAACTAACATATGTACAAAGCCGCTTCTCTACACATTGTTCACTGAGGTACAATTAGACCGGAAACAGTGAAATGGTAATATTTATTCGCATCCCCCTTCACATGGTTTTTAAAAATGTTTCATTTTTTTCGTAGCTACCCGTCAAAATTTTGTAAAGAAGCTGTAGAATCTCTGATAACTGGCAAGTATTTTCAATTCTTTCCATCTAGAAAGCAGTATAAAAACTATTTATAAAACCAGCACAGCACTGACATTTCTTATCTCGAAATGGTTAGCGGTTAAATTGTTGTAAATAAAAAAAATATTTTACTGTCACACTTCAGAATGCTCATAATGATTTGCAAATCAGTCGTCCCCAACGACCTCCAAACCCAACACTCTTCGCACAGCTTTTTGATGGAAGAGTGTGAAGAGTGTGAAGAGAGAAGAGTGCTAAACATGAACTACTGTAGCAAAACCAGCTTTATTTTGGTCTTTTTTGAAAACAGTAACGAAAAAAACAAGCTTTATCAGAAAGATACCAAAAAAAAAAATGACATATCAGAAAAAGTAGCAAACAATAGGCAACAACTTCATAAACATAGAATGGAGACGTTAAAAAAGAAAAGTTTTTGTAACATGAAAAGCTAGTGGATGGGAATGAACTGAAGGTACTCATTCACACGCGTAATCTTTTACCTCTCATTCTTGAACGGATCTTCTGGATGTCCTTTTAAGCTGAAAATTTAAAACTTATTCAGATAAGTGGAAAAACTCACAATAGATTAAGCTCTACAATGACAACAAAAAACTTACTCAAAGCTAACGTTACTAAGATACTAAAAAACGAAATTTCAATTACTACATACCATTCACAAAAACTACACCATGCAAACAGCACCCTGTCAACTTCACAAAAAAAAATATTGTGCTCAGCAAATCCTGAAGAATACTTACAAGTCCCAAGAACCAGTTCTGTAATTCTTCTTCAGCTCATTCAGCTCCTTCATTTCAGCTGCGCTTAACTCAAAATCGAAAATCTAAAAAAATTTTGTTTAACACCTTTTGTGGATAAAAGATGCGCATAAACCATCATGATAACCTACATTCCAGTTCTCTTCAATACGCTTGTTATTAACACTCTTTGGGATTGGCGAGAAGCCTCTTTGCAACAAGTAGCGAAGAAGAATTTGTGCTGCAGTTTTATGGTACTTTCCGCTAAGTTTTTTAACTAATTCGTCTTCTAAAGGATTCGGCGTATGTTTCCACTCAACTCCCCTGAAAACCATTCAACAGTAAGCTACAGGTATTAAGCGTGAAATCGATAAGTACAAATTGTTTGTAACCCACACATTTGCACTAAACCGGCCAGGTGAGCCAATTGGAGAATATGCAGTAAAAGTAATATTGTGTTTCTTGCAAAATTCAGCCAGTTCAAACTGCGGCAAATAGAGATAACATTCAACCTTCAAAGAAACGACCAAAATTTAAGAATCATCGTTTGTTATTTATTTGATATTCATGTGCTTTCGCCAAGGAATCAAAAGTGATGTAAAAGAGCGATCGTTAAGGAGCAGTGGTAACCTGAAGGTTGTGGATTGGGATTGTAGCAATTTTCGAAATACGCTCCATTTGTGCTACGGTAAAATTTGAAACGCCAATTGCTTTCGCATACCCCTTTTTATACACACTTTCAAGATTCTGAAAAACACGAAATAGTGCGGAATTTAATGATGCTTTTGAAAAAACACACCTAACTTTGATAAGGAACTAACTGATGCACTTTAAAAAAACTTCCAGTGCATTTTGTCTAGTCCGTGGTTTCTGGATATTATACTAGTCTTCTGTCCCTAACTTTGATGACACTCAAGTTCAGCAAATTGTCACGCACTTAAGCGTCGATAAACAAATAAAATAAGTTTGAAACAGCGTCACCTGCCATATTTGCTCGATTGTGACAGGGTGTTCTGGTATTGAGTTGTCTTCCTACAATTGATTTTACTTGAGTCTTAGATATCTAACAAGTTATGTAGAAAATGTATGAGTCACAACTATCAAAGTCACTCACGTTTAATGCAGCGGGTGAATGTGCAAGATAGAGATCTACATAGTCAAGCTGCAGCTTCTTCAAAGATTCCCGGATTGCTGCATTCATTTGCTCTAGCCGAAAATGGTTACAGAAACACTGTAATCATTAAAAAATAAAAACAATTTTAAAAAAAGAAGAATAAGTTTATTTGGCATAATTTATACGCAGGAGAATTCCCACTTTGCTGCTAAGTCACTACTGCTAAGTCTCCCTCATAAATTGCTTTAGAATTGCAATAAACCCCGAAAATCAAGACAGAAATTTTATAAATATAAGAATACTCACTTTTGTTGTAACAAACACGTCTTCACGTTTCACTTTGCCTGCTTTAAAATATTCTTGAAGAGCATCACCAATTTCCTTTTCATTTCCATAAGCTTCTGCTGTATCAATCAAACGGTACCCACAGTCGAGTGCATGCCTGACAGCATTTCCAACTTCATTTGGTTTTGACTGAAAAAGGAAAATAGCTCTGAGTTGTTATGATTTATACTTTTATCCTGATATGTTTTAATTCAAAAAGTGAAGCGGTAATGCTACTAGTCAACCGTACCAGCCAGGTGCCAAGACCAAGAGCTGGCATTTCTGCTCCTGAGGACAGTTTCAGCGTCGGTCCTCGAACCACCATCTTTTAGTTCACTCTAGCGTACGTGTACTACACTGCAAAAGATGGGTATTATGCACGGAAAAAAAGAGAAAATTAAGGAAAAATTCCAGTGATTTATGCATGTACACTCTGCAGAAATTGACCGTTTTACATATCAAAACGGAAAAATTGGTACAGCAAGAAATAGGAAGGACGCTTGATTATAGCATAAATTTGCTTTCTCAGGTCTACAAATTTCTGTGGCGCCTCAATTCTCTAGTTAATTTCATATAACGAATGTAAGCGATGTTTTCACAACTGTAGGACTTTTAAATTCTGTTTCTGTGCGCTATAAGCTATGGCACCCCAACGCCAAAGAAAATCACTAAAAAAATTTTCATCGGAATCGCAACCCGCATATATTAGCTATAAACACTACTCTGAAAATACTTCCTAATCAGCTGCTGCAGTGCTTCTGTTATCCAGTTTTTTTTTTAACCAAACCAAGAAATTTTGAAAAGCGGTTGACTTAGACATTATTGAACATAGAGGCAAATTGTTGTCTGAAAGTGAACACGGAAGCCTACACATTTAAAGTATATAATGATTGCAGTCTTCCAAAGTGGTTTCTAGCAGAGGATCTTCAACTTAAGAAAGAGTGATGAAGAAACTAAGTCAAAGAGACTTCTCAGCACTTCAACACGACATAGGAAATGAGACGGAATAAAGGAAATACCATGTTTTCGGAATATCAGAAAAGTCTGATACGTAAAACTGGCGTGCTAAAAAAGCACTGTTGACAGCTGCGAGTATTTATTTAGACGATAGAAGACAGATAGTTTCTAGTGCCTATAGTTTATAGTTTTGAAATGCACGAATGTCATCTTCACTAAGCAGCAGCAATTTTTTCGTTATCGTTTCACTGTGCTTTCTGTTTACTAAAGTAGAAACTATAAACTAAACATTATCGATCAGTCTTTCGTTATATTTTGCAAGGCTAAGTTGTTCAATTTTTTTTCCCTTTGCTGAAACTGTGCTGTAGTCAAGAACAAAATAAAAAAAAACTATGGGCAGTTGTGCTGTTGTCAGAAACGTTCTATGCCACTTTAATCGCACTTTTTTTTGTGTTATAAATTGGAACATTTGCAAGTTGCAGGTGTATTTATAAATTGTAGTTTATAGTCTCTAAAAATACCTTTGAACAAATGCTGCAAAATTTTTTGCAAATAATCTAAATTATTTCTGCTGCTGTGGAATAAAGAAAAATTGTAGGTCCCTTTTTCATCGATAAGGTTTTTTTTGCTTTTATTTCATTTTTCATTAATACCCAAATAAACAGCGATTGTTCAGTCAAAAACTGTGCAATAATAAACCAATAAATTAATGTTTACTGCTAAAAATATGAATAAAGGTTTTGAATTTTAGATTGCCATTGATTCTGAAAACTTCTTCCTTCACTGTGCAATTTAATATCCTTATTTCTTTCCACCTATAGATAGTATTATTTTGATACTGTTGCTCCAAGTACTATATAAAAATTAATCTTACCCATGATTAAACCTTATAATTTTCATACAATCACAGTATAACAATTCACAAAAGCGGCGAAGATAACGACTTGTGGCCAATTACAGAAGTAATTAATTCCGCGTAGTTAGTGAGCCCTCATCTCTCTCTAAGTGCCAACTTCATTTTCGTCTATCCATATTTTCCGACTAAACAATTCAGATTTAAAAGATGTAGTTGCAATAAGAGTTTCTGAACAATCTTTTTTTTCATGTTTTTTAGAGCGTTCGAGTTGCGTAATGAAGAGATTTGGTGGGAAGGTAGCTCTTGTAACAGGTAATTTAATAAACAGAATCTTCTAAGTGACTGGGTTATGGCTTTGATTATCGTAGCTCGGAAGAAAAATTTTTGCTGTGTATGACAGTATACATGGAACCATTCCATACCCGTACAATAAAAATATCATTTTGTAATTTTAATATTTGGGCCATTCCACGTCAAATCGCACACTTTTTTCC